ATTATCTCAGTAATGAAAGATCCATCAAATGCCAGGACAACTTAATCTAGTATCCTCTGGATATCTGAAGATGTGGAAGTTCCTGAAAGTCTGCTTCCTGGTGAGGACACTGAAACTCCACATACAATCGCCATGCCTCTCTTCATCTGGCTTTTCATCTGTATCATTTATAATATGCTTTATAAAAATGATTAAATATAAGTCAGGTGTTTTCTTTATTTCTTTGAGATGCTCTCGCAATTAACAAAGCTCATCAAGGGGTGTGAGGAAACTAAAATTTATAGATAGTTGATCAGAAGCACACGTTACACCTGTGTTTGTGTTTAGCATTTGAAACAGGGGTGTTTTGCAGGACTGAGTTCCGTCTATAGAATCCTATGCTATTTTCAGGTAGATAGTGTCAGAATTGAACTGAACTAGAGGACACCTGCCAGAGTCAGCTGTAGGACCATGATTGGAAAATATTTCCTCTCAATCCTTTGCAATTAGAGGCCACAGAAGGATTGAGGGTTGAGTGCAGAGTAGCAGAACAGCCTTGGTCCCATATCCAAATGGTAATATTATATTTCCTCTGGTCTGTGTGATGCCCTGACTTCCATGTTCCTTCTATCCATGACTTTCCTGAGAAATACTGTCAAATATTTGCTTTTTTTTTTTTTTTTGGTAGCCCCTTGCTAGGTGATATCTGCCCAAATAAGCCACTGAAAACCAATACCCTGCCAATTGCCCATCCCTATTCTCCTTCACAAAAGCTCTTGTCTCATTTCTTGTACCATACAGGATGCTTGTCATTTATGCTGTAAAATTATAATTACCTCCAGTCATTAAGTGACCTGTGTTTTAACAGATATCCCAGAGCTCTCCTTTTCTTCCTAGTTTACACTTGCCTTTTTGAGTGCTTCCAGAGTAAATTTGGGCCAATATATTTCTTTAGGTTAATAGCATTCTCTAAAATACATGAATAAAGCCTAAAATGGTTTAGTTTACAACTACACAATTAATCTCCTCAATGTATGTTTTAGTTAATAATAGAATATGTGTATAAGATTTTCAAAGGCTAACTTATCATTTGGATTAGTGTATAGATCACCTTCCCATTTTCCAGTATAGAAATCAGTAAGAATTAAGGAATTTTGCAGACTTCTTTGCCTCTCCCCAATCTTTGAAATGCTGCATAACATTATTTTTGATTTGCTTCAGTTTTTTGTAAGATCCCGTGCACTCAAAGCTTTTCTTAATACCATATATACTTCACATGAGGTGGGGGTAGTTGATTTTTCTCAAGTATTTCAAAGTCTTTTTTTAAAAAAATTACTGGGACTATGAAGAAAATTATTAAATGATTTTGAGCATATGTGCCTTTAATAAAAAATGTCAGAGATGTGAACAAGGATAATCATCTATTTGTAAACATGCTACAGTTTTCTTGCTCTTTGAAATAGTCATTCAATGAAACAACTTAAAGTAACTTATAGTGAATTTTAAGATTATTCATAAGACTAAATATATTGTAGTCTAAGTTTATGCTGATAAAATAAAATAATAGAATTAATATATATAAAAACAGTCATCTTTTTAAAAAAAATCAATATTGACAAACGTATTGCTACATTTTACTGTGTAGAATGTTTTTTTGAAATTTAATTATTTCATTAATTTCATTTATAAATCACTCTTCTGGCGAAGGTTTCTACTTGCCAATAAGCACTGAGGAATGTCTGCTTTCTGAGTGCAGACCATATTCCTGCCCCTTTTTCTTATCTGCCCAATTAGCTTTATAGGCCTTAGCTATCACCAGCCTAACTACCTCGGAGCCCCTAGATGAAAGTTTCTTGTCCTAGGCTGTTCTATTCATCAGGAATCTAGCAAAACTTCGGTTTGAATAGTTTCCTGTGAAACACCTCCCACTCAACTGATTTGTGGTCCCTAATGAACCATAAGCTGATGGACAATTATTCATTTGGCTGAGACCCATGGAACATTTAAAGGGGACCCGGATCTCACAAGGCTGCATATGTGACTTCCATTTAAGTTTAGATACAAGCTTTTTGACAGGAGCAAGAAATATAACAAGACTTTAAATAAAATCACCGTGGAAGAGTAACTTTGACTTGAAATGGCATGTTCCCTATGATTGGTGTTCAGATAAACCAAAAAATAATAAAAGTAAAACAATTTTTCTACATTTAGAAATAACAACTCGGGTTTCCATCAAATAGAAACTTTGCAGTTTTAAACCACCACCACTGTGTATTATAACTAAGAAGGGGCTGCATTTTTTAAGACCTTAACCAATATGATCTTTCTTTTTGTTTTAACTTAGGCATTGGACTCCTATTATATTTTACTTAAAATCCACATATCACAAATAAAAGAGAGCAGTGAATTTTTCTTAAGATAAAGAAAAAATGTAGTTTGCTAAATTGACGACTTAAAAAAATGCTATTTAGTCTTACCAGACATATCTTGGGATAATTTCTTTCAAATACCTTTCAAATACCTGTGCACAATTCATTATAGAGTAACTAGATAATCAGAATTCTCTCTGAAACAGGGGCATGTATATTTTGTCACTGAACATTTTATTGTCTGGTGTTACTTTTGCCATTATCTGATTTATCATTTGTGGCTAAGAGAGAGACACAGAGATGAACATGGAGCGAAACCAATGACAGCACCTCTTAAATATGTAGTAGAATCTGTCAAAGCACCCACTTCTATCCTAGATGGGCCACGAATGGAAAGAGTATTCAGACGTAGGAATGCTAAAGTCTGAAAGTAGGTGCTTAGTCTCATCAGCTAAGAATAAGGATAATGTTGTTGTTATTGTCATTTTCTTCAGCTCAGTTTTGGAGATGAGGACACTACTATTTGTTAAAGCTATTTTGTCTAGTGCAAATTGAGACTTATTGCCAGTGTAATATACTTAATAAAATAAGATCTCTAATGAGTGGAAAATTTGAAAAACAAATCTTACTTTGCTAAGATCTCCCTCAGCACTATGATATATACCACATTAAAATATGCCAACTGTAAGTAACTGTACCCATTACAGTGGGCTTTAACTTTCAAACGAATGATGTAGAACAAAAAGGAAAAGAAAGAAGAAAGCAGGAATATAATTATATATATATATATATATATATATATATATATATATATATATACACACACACACACACACACACATACACACATGTAGTTTTAGGAAGATCACACAATAAAATTAAAAATTAAAGGAGGATAAAGAGGTCTAGATTTCACTCCAAAATATGATTTATTACTTTTGTCTTCTATCCTGTTTTTAAATTACTAACATATAGTATAGTCTGCCACAACAAAAATTTGTGACCTACACAATTATAATATATTTAACCTACATAGTTAACTTAATATATTTAAGTTTTATGATAGCAATTGATATGATGAATGAACTATATAGCTATTACTGATCATTAAAACATATCTTTTTTTTTACCAGTTTGTCCTCTATTATTTCTTATCCATTTCTCAATGAACAGATGCTATAAAATGGTATATTTGTAAGTATTAGCTCCATGCACCATAATCTTTATTCAGAAGACTCCTCATGACATCAAAAAAAAAAAATGTATCAAATGTATTTTGGGAGGGGCAGTTGGAAGCAGATATATCAATTAGTTGCTACTTACAGAAAATTAATATAGGTAAACTCATTCATCTTAACATTTTACTAAAAAGGATGTAGTATATTTATTGAATTGAAAGAAAATCAGTTGACTTACTCATTCTAATTCGTGCTTTGAAAATTTTACTTTTCATTTTTATTTGGTTATATTAACTTGATGTCTTCTGCCGTGCAATTGGCTTACTATTAGTGGAACACAGAAAGTTGCTATTAATATGGATGAAAAAATGGTTAAATATTAGCAATTTTATTTAAATTCACTTATTTTTGAGTGGTGTAGTTTTTTACTTTGTAATAATGTGGTTGTCACATGTTTTGTCAAAAGTCTTTGCCAGCATGGGTTAGCTGATGAAAATTCTTTACATACACACATATATAACATGCATGTATACAATACAATGACAGTAGAAGATCTATAAAACAGTTAAAACAAAAATACTTACATATCTTATAAGAATCATTCAATTTTGCTGTTCTTATACTGCTAAAGTTGTGATATCAATAACTGAATCTGTACACAATTTAAAATTATATCTGAACTTGCAAAGGCATAAGAACATAAATTTTTGGTTAAAAATATTACAACAATTTAGACCCTTCTATTTTATACATTGTTTTATTTAATAGTATTTTGATGGCATCTTAAACAGTATAAAAATGGAAATTTTTGACTTGATTTTTGGGAAATGTTTAATATGCAAAATTAAAGATATCTGCAAAAATGAACTGTGAATGTGATTCTCCAAAGAGTAGCCACTTAATGTGGTATAAATGACTTGACATTTCTAGGTTAAGCCAACTGAAGGGGCCCAGAAAATAAATCAATGAAAACAAAAACAAAATAAGAAATTAAGGGCCTTTACTAAATTATGCTCCTTCTGTGAAAAAATTATCCACTCCATTAAAAATACAATGGCTCTACTTGTATACTAAAATATTACTGTTCAATAATTTGCCTTTGATATTGTTTTGGTGTTAAAAAGTAATTTCTTTAAGTAATTATTCCTTGAGACTGGTCAAGACTGATCCCTGACCAGGTGCAGCTGCACATGGCTGTAATTCCAGACACTAGGGAGGCTAAGGCAGGAGGAACATGAGTTCAAAGCCAGTGTCAGCAACTTAGCGAGGCCCTATCTCAAAATAAAATAGAAAAAACGGGCTGAGAATGTTACTCAGTGGTTAAGCACCCCTTGGTTTAATCCCCAGTACCAAAGATAGATAGAGAGAGAGAGAGAGAGAGAGAGAGAGAGAGAGAAAGAGAGAGAGAGAGAGAGAGACTGGTCCTGGAACTCTTGAAATAGCGCTCATGAATCCCCTTGTTCTTCAAACTCAGGTTCAGAAGGTAGTATGCTCAAATAGCCATCACAATCAAGATCTCTACTCTACTGGCCAAGACACATAAAGAGGCACCAGTGGCAGATAAAAAACACTCAAAGCTAAATGTGATCTAACTTCAGTCAAGAAGAGACAGGAAACTCCTCTGGGACTGAAAAGTTGCTCAAGTTCTGATCTGAAGAAAAAGACCCAGGGACATATGGAATATGGAAAAGGTCCAAGAGAAATTCTAGGAGCCCACTATTCCTGGCTTTGCCTCATCTTCCTTGGACATCAGTGTGTCTTCCTCAACACCAAAACAGTTGTGTCACCATGAATGAAATTGTGCTCTTCAGAAAAAAATTTAAACAATGAGCATATAGAAGGCAAAAACTTTGGGACTCTTGGGTCTGGGGCCCTTTCTCTTTGAAGAAGTTTGTTACTGTATTTGCTGCTTGCTTATTATCTCTGTGTTTAATCTCCCCCTCCCTGCCCCCTCAAAAGCTTTACATTTACATTAATTTACATTATTATTATTATTGTTATTATTATTTTGGGAATATTAGTGTCTCTATTTAAAATAAGGACACTTAAGCAAAAGGTAATGCTTTACTTTATTCAGAGTCTTAACCGAGATTAACTGTTGAAGCTGAGATTTCAGCTCAAATCTTAAGATTCCAAATTTACAGTCTTTTCTGTGCTATCACAATGTCTAATTAATCCATTTACACTGAAAAGGGAAATGATTGCTAAAGATTTAGGTAGTGATTACTAAAATTATCCAGGGAACTTGAAAAAGTTAATAAAGATTCCTGAACTTGAGCTTCAGATACTGTTTAAAAAGATCTAGGGTTTTGTAAGGTGTCTGTCCTATTATTTTTTTTTTTAAAGTTTTTCTCTAAGTAATGCTGCTGCTTAGCCAGATTTGGGAACTTCTTTAAAGTATGAGACAGCTTTAAAGAATTTGCAAGAATATTTGCATTTTTCAAAGGAGAAAATAAATCTTTCAAATGAAGCATTTCCACTCAGAATTTTTCCGTTATGTGGGTGGTTTGAAAAGGTATGCTGAGGAGGGGCACTTCCTAACACCTCAGAAATCAGGACAGGAAGTGAGCTACTTACTTTGCTTTCTCAAAAGTGTATTCTTTCTTACATATGCACCATGCATGGACCTTGATTAAATTTTTTATCTGAAAAAAATAAGTCAGTAGGCTATTTACCGACACCCCCCCCCCCCAATAGAACACAGCCTGCAAAACAAAACTCCTTAAAATCTTAGTTTCATCTCTTCTGATAGTTGCATGTCTTGGGGAAAATATTTAGCCATTTTGAGACTTAGTTTGCTTGTCCACTAAATGCACATACCCATATATATCCCATGGGATTGGCCCAAGGATGATACAAACTTTTGTGGGTGGTTTGGCCTAGTAGGTGTGCAACAAATGTAACTAACGTTCCTTTTAAAAGAACATAATCACTGACCTGTAACCTGAACCATATCAACTTCCTATGCAACAGAGTACACCATCTTGTGTTCCATTATTTTTAAATGATGCTATGTAAAATAATATTCTATGGACAAACTTGTTTGGCAAATAGTGGAGAACACTTGTCTCATTGGGAGATCTTCACAATATGCAGTTTAGAAATCTCAAAAAATTTTTCATGAATAAAATTTTCTTTAATTCATCATTACTATAAATGCATGTGACTATGGACCTTTTTGGTCATGGGACATCAATGAATATCCTAGAAATAGTATCCCAAGAAGCACACTATGGCAAAAGATTCTCTTTGCCATTAATCTATTAAAAATATATGATTTAGTTTCTAGGCAAATGGAGACAGTACAAAATAAAACCTCAAGGTATAGATTTTAATTATAAATAGATGTGAATCACATTGTAATGGAGTAGCAGATATAAAATTCATGTATAAGATCCCACGTATAGATGTTGTATAGCTATTTTTTGTTCTGTTTGCATATGTAAATATGCACATGTATATATGTTTTACTGTGTATGTCTTTAAATGTATGAGTTTGTGTCTACGTGTATGTATAAAATTAGGAATCTCTTCATGTGATTACTATATCAATTTGTGAATAGTATATGAAATGCAATTCCCTGTTCAATAAAAAAGGATTTATAATCACTTCTCTGCTGTTTAATTTTTTATCCCATACAATAAATATGGACTTACTAGAATTAGAAACCCTCTTCATTTAAATATCAAATCTGAACACAAATTTAAAATAAAGTCTTTGAAACTGTTTTCCCACAGCCTCTCCTACTCCTCAGAGTTCACCTCCCCTGGCTGGTATTTTCTCAGATAACTAGTTCATTGGCCAAAAAACAAAGAACTAAAAATTATGTTGCACACAAAGAGACATAATTTCAACATCTGAGGCAAAGCAACACAAGGTTCGACTTCCTCCAAGTCCAACTTGGGGTCACTGCTTGTTTGTTTTCCTTTACATAGGCACTCCAGCCTGCCTTAATGTCCAATTTGCTTTCAATCAGTAGGTATTTAAACTTCAGGAGGAACCCAGCCAAAATAAGCTGTGCTTCTGCCAGGCCCAAAGACTCCTTTCCTCTTACTCTCTCTGGATTTCCTCTTTTAACTTTACCCTTCACTTAGTTCCATGGAACTCGCTTGGGCCCTCTGAGGGAGAGTTAACTTTAGGGCCTTATTACCCCTTTCAAACAGAGTGGCAGAGTCATTATCCCTAGAGAAGGTAATTCTTGGGAAAAAAAAAAGTTAAGAAAAAACTGAACATAAGAGAGGCAAGACCTCGTCTTAGTTTGGCCTTGTTCATGATACTCTTCTGCTGATTCTGAAAATGTGGGTTGCTAGAGAAGGAACAGTGCCTTGCCCCCAGCCCTTTTATACACACACACGCACACACACACACAAACACATCATGTATATGTTTGTTTGTGTGTGTGTGTGTATGTATATATCTGTATTAAGAGATGAAAGATGGTAAAATTTGTAGAATTAGAAAAATAATCTTACAAAAAGCTTGAGGGCTACCTAAAGCTGTGGAATGCAAGGGCATCCATCATCTGAGGCCATGCTGCACTGGGCCCCTTCCTCCTCTAAGCAGTGTGACCAGAATTATTCACATACTTATGAGTCTCCAAAACACAATTCCTATATTTTCTTTTTTTCTGAATATGAGCTTAATAAAAAGAACTATTATATATGCAGTCTAATTACCAGCACTGAGGAAACCTTAACTCACCTGTATTTAAGCATCCACCTGAAGGTACACTGATTTCACCTTCTTATTTCTCCCCTCGGCATACCCTTCATTCAACATGAACCAAACTCACCCATGTAAATCATGAACTACAGAATTTAGGAGTGAGAAACCTTCCCTAAAGACACATCCAAAAATGATTTTTTCTGGTATCAAGAGCCCTTTAAAATTCTTTTTTAAAATAACACTTTGAAAAAAATAACATCTGTTTAAATCCTTTTATCATGATTTAAACACATTTTCAGTTATCACATTTTTTTCTTCTTTTTTTTTTCCTTTTTTAAAAAATTCTTTTTATACCTGTTACCATGGACACAATGTTGCTTGCCTCAGAGTCTAATTAAAATGGTTACTTGCTCAGCCAGGGAATTAGAGAATAATCACGTGTTGGGGGAGTGGCTTAAAAATCTGAGGAAACTGCTGTTTAGGGTCTAATGATAGAAATGTTTCTCCTCTATCAAAGTCTTCTTTAATTTTTCCACGGAGTTATTTGACCAATAAATTTCTTTATAAAAAAATCATCATATATTATTTAGAAGCTATATACAGATTTTAATCCTATATTTCTGGTCTTTGTGTGGGTTTCCACAGGCTATCCAAAAAAGATTTGGTGTCTATATATTTAAGGAGGGAAAGAGAGACTATCTCTTCTAGATGAATTATTGAGCACATAATAATATCTGATCCATAGCAGATTTTAACTGAAAGCTACTTAAAAAGAAATATCCCACATTTCAATCCATCTTTGAAAAGATTGCAGGTCTCTTTTTTTCCATTCATTTGATTCTCTCATTTTGGCCTAATATCTTTGTTGCTTTTGTTAAGAGAAAAAAAAAATACTCTGTACAGTCAAAACCGTTAGTTATTTTAATTGTGAAAATAGGTTTGTCTAATACATTATCAGGCATACATTCTTTTAAAATTAGATAAGTCAGAAAGTAATACTTTTTTTTCCATCAATAACAGTTCCTCTAAGCACAACATTGACAACAAGGACAACCACACTGGAGAATAGACGATGGTAACACAGAAAGTATCATGGTGTTCTAGCACCAGTGCACACACAGTATTGAAAATTTCCAGAATGCAGAGATTATATTTTATGGTTCTTCATCAGTCCACTCTCTTTTGCAATGTTTCTATGGTATGCCAGTTTAGTGGAGTTCTTATATTTTCCAGCATCATATTAGAGTTGAAAGGTCTTCAGAAAATTACTTAATATGAGCTTCCATCTTCCAAAATCTAACATGAGTTAACCATTGGCTTTTTCTGACAAGATATTTTGATTATTCTATATAAGTTGTTATTATGTAAACCGAACAGAAACATGATTTTATTGAGCAGAAATCCAGTAATGAGTGTGGGGAAATAGTCTATAGGATTAATGGGCAGTTGACCAGATGGAAAGGCAGGAAGTCAAAATTCAAGGGTGATCTCAGGTGCTAATGAAATACAAGTCATTTTGCTGAACCAACATGTACCCTCTCCCATACAAAGGAATGGGTCCATAGTCTAATTCTGCAACAGATCAATTTCTAGCAACAACTAAATCAGCATGTCTCAAATGTCCAGTGATTTAGATCAGCAACTAGAGAGTCCATTTCCCTGAAGCATAAGGTTGCTCAAAGATTTAGAGAACTGGGTATGTGAGAATGCAGAAGGGAATTTTCTGGTAGACAGCAGAGTATCCACGAACTTTATGATAAGCTATGGGATTTCACAAAACTTGTTCAATTGTGGTAGGTGGTTTGGGGTTCTAACCCCAAACCCCTGTGTCCAATTCCTTTGTCATTAAGGTAACTTAAATGGGAAAATGTTCAGGCTTTTTAGAACATAGACTTTGTTTTGAGGGAAAGCATTTTCATAGTCTACGGTTGCCAAATATATTCTATAAAACTTTAGTTGGTAAATATTGTTTGTTGAACTTTGAGTCCTTTGAGTCATTTGTATTTCTCATCCAAACTGGTGGTTTTTCATTAAAACTCAGTGCCTATGTTTTTAGCCAGTTCTTTAATACTGTTGAAAACAAGAACCTTACTACTTTATTGTTTTCCTCAATCAATTAAAACCACAGGATTTGAATTAAGCCTATAGCAAGAAGGAGAAAAAGAAAGGAATTTGCTTTTCCTGTAATCTCTATGTTGTTTCTCCTTTGACCATTCTGTTGACTCTTTTTTTTTTTTTTGACTCTTTTATCCAACAGGACATCAGTGCCTGAATGAATAATGCTTGGTCACTCCCACAGCATAGTTTAGAACCCACAGAGGCAGGAAAGGTCTTTGTAAACATGCCAAATGATTCTGGCTTGACTAAGGGACACAAAAGGCAAATATTTCTGGAAAACCAAGATTGACCTTAACTCTGGTATTTTGAGAGTCAATTTTAAAATTTGCAAGAATTCAGCTTACTTATATCTAAATCTGTTCTTGCATAGTTTGGAAAGACAAAAGATTAAGGATAAGTAATACATTATCTATGTTGTCTTGGTTACATTAAATGTACACTATTTTCTTCTTAATTAATCACTTTGTTTTTGTTTTTGCAGTTCTGGCGGATAGAGTCCAGGACCTTACCCATGCTAGGTAAACAGTTGACCACAAAAATACATCCCCATTTCTAATTAATTACTTTTATGTGTTTAATGTTGAAATTAGGAGGAACTTAAAGTTTTAAAAATTAAACTTAATATAGCTCCAAAGCAAAAGGCCAGACCAAATATAAAATATGCTATAAATAACTGTATTCTCAATCAAAGTAGCTTTCATTCCCAGAAGAATTATTGCATGATTTCTTCCCAGGTGCCTGCCTTTGTTCTAGGTGGTGTTCTAGAACAAGGATCATTCACTCATGACATTTGTATTCCTCTAAGAGAGGCAGATGATAAATGATAAAAGAAGGAAATTTCAGCAAATAACTTTGTGAAAATAAAAGTAGTCCAAGTTTTGCTTCTTAAGTAGGAAGTTGTGAAGATGATACTTAAGCACATAATGGGGTAACAAAGAGAAGCAGAGCTTGAGAAAGTGTGAGGGAGAATTCTCCAATGGGACCTTGAAGGCCATGGTCAGAGTTTGGATTTTTCTACATGAGGCAAAAAGCAGAACAGTGTCACAATTGTCAGAGTTTTACTAACTCCTGTTCATCTGTCAGATCTCAATCTCAAATTACACTTCCTCCAAGAAACTTACCTTGGTCAACCAGGATATTCTATTAAATTTATACACATTGCTGTGTTATATGTTTCTTATTCACATATGATACATCATAAAATTTATTGATCTGCTTCTTTGATTAAATCTCTTTTCTTCACTACACTCTCATCTTTATGAAGTCAGGAATGAGAACAATCTTGTTCATTTTGTATATTCCTGCACCTGGCCTAGCATCTCAATAAGAATCTATTTACATTTTTGTGAACAAATGATTTATAAATTATAGTCAAAAGATTGAAGAAATTGAAGAATCTTTGAATTCTACAAATATTTCACAGACATTGAAAAATAAAAAGAAATTTAGGTAGGATCATTCCATCTTCTGAAATTTCCCTTTATTATGAGGAAAAACAGAAATTGAAAAAAAAAAAAAAACTTTGGTCTAAATATAGGGCAAAAATAAAGGTGATATAGGTGGCATTGATAGTCTGTTTTTATTCTTTCTGTTACTTTCTTAGTAGTCAGATCATTGAACAATATTTTGCAGAAAGTAAATGTAGTACCATAAATGTAGTACATCCTATTGTCTTCTGGAATGATTTTACTCCTTGATTTGGATCCCAGATCTCCCCTGATTTTCCCAGGAGGTAGAGAGAAGGTGGGATACAATATTATACTTAGTTTTGCTTTCTT